CACAGGAACAGGAAAATATTTCTAATGCACTTCCTACTATTAAAAAATAAAGGGGAAAAATGAAAGCTATGTGATTGGGGAACATCATGTTCTTGTCCCAATTTCTAGGAAGTGTAGGTGTTGTGCTCATATGCGATTGTATTTGTCCTCTAGCATTTCTGGTTTTTGTGCTACCCTGCTGGCCTTTACACTTAGTTCTATGTATCCAATTCTCTCCTCTATTTAAAGGACTGCATAAGTACTCACGTCCTGAGCAGAAAGAAAGTAAAACCATGGAGTGGTTGGCTCACTGTGAGGCTACAGCAAGCACAGGGCTGGCACCTAAGCCCAAGTGGATTCTTATATTTTGCACCCTGGGGATCACCTTGTCACACCCCAATTCCAGCCTGAATCCCAACACCTAAGGGTCAGCAGCCACGGCTACTGACCCACAAGGCCAGCCCTTGCTTATAGCTCTAGCTTTGATTCCTACTCTTCCCAGCACCCCTCTTCATTCTCCAGTCCACGTTCGTGGTTCTCAAACATCAGAAGGGCAAAAGACTGTGGGGTCTCATTCCCAGGGTGTTTTCTTTTTCCCTTTTGTTTTATTTTGTAGTACTGAGGATTGAATCCAAGGCCTCCACACTGAGCTGTCTTCTGAATACCCCAGCACTCTACTTCCCAAGTCTCTCGGCAGCTTATTCATTCTGCTGCCTCTACTTCATCTTTACAGTAACGGATAGTATTCCCAGCATAAGACAAAATTCTATGCTCAGTGAAAGGTTTGGGGCAAGACTGACCCTAAAGTCACCAAGAAAAGATATCTAATGCAAGGTTTGGGAAGTTAGCACCCTGTTGCCCTGGAGAGCACAGAAGCTTGGAGAATTTCTCTAGGTTACCAGCCTGACCTGCACATTGCAGCCTCTGGAAAGGAGGAAATCCCCTAAAGGTCATTATTCTCAGGCTGATGCTAAATTAGACTTCAGAAGGAGGCAGCAGAAGGAGCAGGGCTAAGACATCAAGGAGCGGTCAGTGCAGCACCACAGCTAGTTAGGCAGAGCAGAGTCAGGGGCTCCTCGGGTGGAGCTCCATGGTAGAATGCTTAGCAGGTGCAAGCCCTGGATTCCATCCCCAGCAATGCAAAATAAAACACAGATGGATGAGTGATAGAGACTGACAGTACATTGAAAAGAGGGATACAATTGATAAGACAGACACAGATAAATAAGATTATGTTAAGTCACAGATAAACAGAGAAAGGTATAACATACACCTATGTAGAGATGCGGTGTGATCAAAATATACAGTGAATGTTTAAATTTTAAAAAGCATTGCAGTAAGATATATTCCCATTAATCTCTCTCAAAATAACCCCCAACCCTGGGCTTCAAACATACTTATCCCATTGTTCTTATCACTTCCTGGAGCAGTTCTTGAAGTCCTCTTTTGTATCATCATGAAGAGTGACAAAAAATACAGTGAATGCTGCTATCAAGCACCATGCAACAAAAAGGAAGGCTCATAAAAGCATCACTGCGTGTCCTTATCCACTTTATTCACCAAATGTGGCACCATGCTACTTCTGGCTCTTCCCCAAAGTCAAAATGACCATGAAAGTTAAACGTTTCAAACCTATTCAGGACATTGAGGTAGCCAACAGAATGTAATTAAAGAGACTCACAAAAGACTTCCAGAACTGCTTCAGAAAGTGGCAAGAATGATGGGATAAGTGTTTCTGAAGTGAAGGGGAGTATTTTGAGGGGAATTAATGACGATGTGTCTTTTGCTGTAATAAAATTGTTTTAATTTAATATTCATTGCTTTTTTTCTATTATACCTCATATGTTACTGTTTAAGTATACAATTCTCCAAGCCTTTGAGTTTAACCAAGAAATTAAAAAGATAAATAATTTTTACTATGGGTAGACATTTACATTAAGAATATATGAAAATATCTGGGTCAAACGGGACCTCTAATCCTAGTTCTTTGAGGTTGAGGTATTTCCATACTAATTTCCACAGTGGTTGCACCAGTCTGCACTCCCACCAGCAGTGGAGCAGGGTTCCTTTTTCCCCACAGCCCCGCCAGCATTTGTTATTGGTTGATTTCATGATAGCAGCCATTCTTTGTGGGGTGAGGTGGAATCTCAGCATTATTTTCATTTGCATCTCTTGAATGACCAGTGATGTTGAACATTTTTTCATACGTTTATTTGCTATTTCTACTTCTTTGTCTGAGAAATGTCTGTTCATTTCAGATGCCCATTTTTGGATTGGATCTTTAAATTTGGGAGGTCTAAAAGTTCTTTATATATGCTAGATGTTCCCCTGCTGGGTATCTTCCCAAAAGAATTAAAGGAATCATACTATAGTGATATATGCTCACCCATGATTTGAATAAAAAGGTTTAGAAAGAGACCAATTCCCACCAAAGATTATGGATAGCAAATATATAAAGACAACTAGGTGTTGATCCAGACCATATAAAATCACATTCCTAATTCTCAATTAACTACTTATTTTTGAAGGTTTTGGTTGTAAAATAAAATTTTTAAAGGTGATCTCTATGTATTTTCTATATTGAAATCTAGGGGAGAATAGAAAGGAAATAGTTTAGAAGCAAGCCCATAAAAATTCTGCCTTTCAGGAATATTTGGGATGATACAAAAGTATAAACTTTTAGGGAAAAGAAGTAATTTTGTAAATAAAGTTCTTATTATAAGAATCAGATTGAAGTAGAAAGTTAATGATATTTTATATGTAATATATTACATTAGAACTAGTAAAATTTTGATACTCATAGCTAAGTATGCCAGCCAAAGATAATATTAAATATAATATAAAAATGATAAAAGAAAAACTCCCAGTTTAAAAATACCAAAAGATGAGGTGGCCAAGATATTTTAACTACTTTTATGGTGTTAATCAGAAAGTCTATGGAGTTTCCATGTGATTTATTTTCATAAGCCAAAATAGAAGTTATCTCATTTTTCTCTTTATATCATTTTCTTTTTTGCTCTCAGAAGCAAAAAATGTAACACAATTATTAAAAGTCTTCTCCAATATACCTCTTAAAGGTATCAAATAAGACCAAGACAGCATTTGGTAAACATTACTAAACACGCATATCAGGGTTAGGCCTTTATAACATTCCTGAGCCCAGTATACTAAAGTCAAAATTCTAGAAACTACCATGAGGCGTGGGGGGGGGGGGGAGACGAACCACACGGCTAAGTTCCAAGACACAATCTGAGGAGAGGATAAAAAATATATATATATATATATATGTGGCACTAAATACTGCTCTCTGGATCCTCTGTTTCAGCCATATTTTTGATGTCTTTATCCATGCTGTCAACATCTTTTTCTACCCCTCTGGCCATTCTTCCATAACCTCTCCTATCCTCCCTAGACTCCAATATTCCCCAAGCTCACAATTTTTCTTTCTAGCCTTTATGTTCTTCCACAAACTGCCAGTGCTCTTCCACAGACTGAAGCTCCCTAACTAAAGATGGTTATTGATGTACAGTACCAGGGTTTTAGTGCAGCAGCAGAATCAATAAACGAGAAAATACTACTTTGTCAGGTTTCACCAAAGCATTCTGGGAAACTTTACTGCTCTGGGTGGTTACAGAAACTCTTAATATTGGAGAGCAAGGGCTATACTCCCTTCTGTGGTGAGAGATGATGTTCTTCTACCCTCTAGTGACTATAAAGGAATAAAGCAAACGTTGGAGGAATTTCTGACACAGCATCATACCATTATTTGTCATCTTTTAATTTTATTTCTATGAAGAATCAAAGTCTCAGGAACCAAGTGAATTTGTAGGGTAAAAAATCACCTTTTCATAGTTATTTTGAATGTGTTCAAAATGCAAAGCACATACATTTCAGTAGGTATACATCAGAACTTTGGTTCCTTTGGATTTCCAAAAGTAAGAGATTTTAATTCACCCTCACACATACACATCACAAAATTCTTGAAGTGGAAGTTCTGCCAGTTTTAAACTCTTCATTTTACAAAAATATAGGCAATGAAGCACAGTGGGGTTAGAAATTAGCATTGGACATATACATACATATATGTATTAGCTTGTACATGGTGGACATGCTACCCAGAGACTGCTTCTGCAACCTCTTCCTATCATATTCACACATACAACATACATCATCCATACGGACACCACACATACAGCGCGCACCATCCACACACACACCATACATGCAGCACACACCATTCACCCGCACACCACACATGCAGCACACACCAGATATCAGAAGAAACCTAACTGTATAAATAGCCTGAAATATTACATTACTTAATATGATATTTGTTGATTATTTCTCTTTTAAAATAACACAGCTGCTACTTTCAGCTGTAAAACTTCCTGGGTTTTATTTATTTCTACAATTACTTTCACATTTAGTCACCTAAGTTACAACTTGCTTATTTAATCACTTGGTAAATTATTAAGGCAAGAAAACACTCCAGTGTTGGTATATTTGTACTTTCATAAATAAGATAGTATTCTGCAATTGATAAAAGAGATGCTAACCTTATAAAAATCATTGGTACTGCATCGAGAAATCTGTAAAGAAATTCTAAGCAAAAAACATCATAAATGCCTTTTTTCAGAAGATATAAAAAGACATATAATCTTCTCAGCGTTTATTGCCCATATAGTACTAATGGTAGTTTCCATCTAATGGTAAATAACTTCCTAAAGAATAAGGCTAACCACACTACACTCTAAATAATCCAAGCTTAATGAAGTCTAAAATTCTAACATGCATGGTACATGTAAAATGTCACCACTTGAACATGTTAAGTTCAAACATCTGGCTATACCGTTAATGAAATTTTAAAGGAAAGTTGTTCTTTTTCTTATTTTTTATAGCAGTAAGAAGTAAAGACTGCCATTACAAGTAAAGGTTGGAAAATATCAGTTATGTACACATTTGTTTTTGCTACGAAGATGATCTTTTAGCCAATAATCTAAAGAAAAGACAAATATATTTACCTTGCTAGCACTCAACCGCTTCCGATTTGACCAACGCTACAGATTGTGTCCGTTGAACAGTGAAAATATCAAAATGAAACAGAGAAACAGAATTGTTAAAAACATAATTATATTGTGTGATATGGTAAGATTACATTCAGATGACTGACACCTATATTCTGAAGTTACCAAAACTGCATATTTAAGGAAGAAAATAAAAACAAAGAAAATCACATTAAGTGGTTGTGTTACATAACTTTTCCAAAGTATTTAGTAGATAAAGGCATGAACAGATGAATACTGCCCAATCCCTAGAAGTATACCTACTTTTTAAGATTATCTTGAAACATAATTTTATTTCTAAAAAAGTAGAACACCAATTTCCTACCATTTGGAATATTTAGGTAGTAGTATGAAAAAGTTAATGACGTTCAGGACCACTGTCAGTTCATGTTTAGGTTTCCATAGTTTAAGATAATTCAGTTTACCTTCATAGGTTAAATATTCAATACCCAATATTCAAAAAATAGGAGAAAAAAATCTGAATTGTCGTCATTCAGCTAAGAAAAATAAGTTAATATACACCTGAGAAAGGAAGAAAACAAGCAACTTCACCTCTATTCTCTTCTGGTCTCCCTCTAGTCAGGCAATAATGCTGAATTTCATCTACAATTAAAATTCTCTCAGCAAAATCCTCTCATTACTCCTGTCCAGTCCTTCACAGGTTTAATCTGGCTGGTTAACTAGCTAACTGGCTTAAAACTTATATGAATTTGGGAGATTACAACTCCATTATGAAACCAATTGAGCAGTCCCCATTTAATATTATGCTTAACAATAACAAAAAAAAAACTTTCAGTAAATGACCTATCCACTTTGCCAGTATGTCTTCCCAATAAACTAGACACCAAAAAGTAAACAGTCTTCAGGGGAAATGCACTTACATTCCATTGACCAGCAACTAGAAACACTGGATCAGAAATAAAAATATTCTTCATTGATAATATTTCCCCTGGGGAAATGCTGAGTGCAATACTCACCATATAACACACAGTTATAAATCCTATAAGCAGGGTATTAGAATTTTTTCTGGGTTTTCCCCATCACAGCAGCAAATATTTTCACCCAATCCAATTACTAAAATTAATTATCATCTTATAGTTGTATAGGACTACTTGGGAGCCTTTGAGGTATGTAATAATAATTTGAGTTTTATAATAATCATAAAAGATAAATAAAGCAAATAAGAGTTTTAATGGAAAATGACTATTACTGTTTGCTTAAGCAATGCTATGCACTACCATTTATTGATTATCTCTACTCCATACCAAGCACCACATTTGATAATCTTAATTTTCAGGACCAAATAAGGAAGACATTTTTTTTTTTTTTTTTTTGCCCTGGGGATCAAACTTGGATCCTTGTGCTTGGACAGCAGGCAGCGAAACCACTGAGCTAAATCCCTGGCAGGAACACATTTTTCTTATCCTCGTTTCACACAAGAGGAAACTGTAGCTGAGAGAGGTTAAATAAGTCTGTGAATTTGAGCAGACCAGAATACTGATGGAACTGGGATTCAAACCCATACAACTTTGATGACAGAATCCTTAATTTTAATTATAACCTTATTTTTTCCAAGACAAAGAACATGTATGTTTGTTAGTTTTCCAGACACTGCCTTACATTCTGACTGCACTTACATATCCATAGGATTCAGGGTAAATTCAGAAAAATGTTACACAGAATATTTTTGTCAGTTTGGCTCCATAGCAGCAAATACCATCTGCTTCAATGATGATGGAAACAAAAATGGGTACAAAACTGAGAATTCAAACTGAAATTTCTCCACCAGAGTATAAATTAAAATGGACATTTATAAACAGATAATACCAATCAAATAATCTATTTTCTCCCAGTCCCAAGTGCTAGTCCCACTTCAAAACTTAATATAAACATGGCTTTAAATAATATAAACTCCATGAAAAGAACAAATGCTTTTACACATCTATCATACCCAAAGGCTCCATGATATGTGCTGTAAATTGAATAACCACATATGGCCCAGAACAAATTACTCAATTAATTATTCTTTGGTTATAATTTGATCAAGTATATAAAAAAATACTACCAATCTGAGCAAATGAGAGTAGGCAGGCTTTTTGTATAATATCTTCATGAGAATATATAAAATATAAAATACGTGCATTGTACACTAGACTACTGCCAGACTAACAAAGAATAAAAAGGCACTTGAGTAAACAGTGTGAAAAACTCTTCAATACAGGAATTGAGGAGTCAACTGAAAAAGGGTCAAACTAAATAAAATGAGAACCGCGATTAGTTATTGAACTTTGAAAAGATATGAGATGTTTTGCAAAATAAATCCTTGTTTCATCTAGCATTAAATGCTCTGCAATTTGAAATAAGTTAAAACTAAAGTGCCATTACTTTAAAACTCCAAAGTTGGCAATATTTAAGTGTATTTTAAGGGCCAATATGACGCTAAATATGATTCTATATACTACAAGAAATTCACAAGAGTAGTTGTTTAAGTATGCAACTATTTTCATGGGGAAAGCATGCAACTTTACAAGCACCATTTAAATACATAAGAAATTCTGAGAACACATTGGCTGGTAATTGCTCTACCACATGGCAAATGATACCTATATATAACATGCATTATTTTAATCTGGAGTCCACCTCTGTATATACACGGACATTGAACCCAGAGTTGCAGATGCACTAGCAGCACTGTCAAGACTAAGGGGAAGCTAAAGAAAACCCTCCTTCACTCTATGGGGTAGGAAAATACAAGTTTATTTTCAACATCTTCTCAAGGCATTTTTACATCAAAATAACTCATTTTACTGAGGTGTCAAGTAGGAACAGAGGCACTTTTTCTTAACAGTAGTCAATTGAGTTTTATTCTGTTGTTGTCAAGAAGTAAATTCTCATGAATAAGGATTTCAAATTTTAAAAAAATATTCAGTCAGTCCTCTGTAAATTAAAATATTATAGTCCAGTTGTTTATATTACTTAAAATTAGCTTCTGTGAATTTACTAGCAAATCAGTCATTATTTTCATCAGAAATAAGTTACATTCACAATGTCAAAATGAAGGATATCCCCCTTGTCTGTTTTGCTTGAATTCAGGAAGCATTATTAGAAGCTTAATTTATAAACAGGTTTCAGATTTTCATACTAGATTTTCACACATGCTAAGTTGTAACACATCTTATTCTTTCTCAAGTATTTCAGTTGGCTTTAAAAATGCCTTTCAAGTAATTTAAAATTAAAGACGGATTTCATTTTCTGAATTCTTGGAATTATAAAACATAATTCCTGAATATAAGATGAGATGAATGATAATAACATATCTGTACATAAGAGCTGCCTAGGTCATATCCGGATGAAGTCTAATGCTTTGTTGATATTATAGACATCTTCAGTAAGTAGTGGATTAACCAGAAATTTCCATGTAAGAGACCAAGGTACATTAAAATTTGTATCTTCCCCAAAGCATTCCCAATGGAAAATTTAGTAGCTAAAATTTTTTAAAGGGATGATGAAAAAGAAATCATAATGCTTAAGATGTATACTTGATCACATTAATAATATACAATTCAATAATTAAATCCTGGGAACTGGTCTTCATAACTGAATAATACGTAATTCATCTGGGACCTAAAAATTCTAAATAGAAACTTTAACACTTAGGAAATGTGCACGTCAAATAATCTATTATAAGCTAATCTTCCACAGCATATAAGTTTTAATAATAGCAATACTAACCATATCCCTACCCAAAATAGAATACCTTAGTGGATTTGCTTTCTAGTGTTTTAAAAGAGAGGGTGAGTGTAATCACAGATAAGTAACCTCTAAGTATAACAAACAATATTTGTTCCAAAAAAGATTATAAAAATATCAGTTGCCTGCTAGATTGGTATTCAAAGGACAATGACAATGAAGAGTTTAAAAATGACCAAAATGGTTACACTTACATGTCTCTTGAAATCACCTTGTTTTACTATTAAGTTCAGATTTAACACAATCACTCCCATGTCATCTTCTAAACTGTTTGGATCTTCCAGTTTTAAAATATGTTCAGTCGTTCTACAAGAAAACCAAAAGCAGCAGATAATTTTAGTACTTGGAAATACGGTGTGGTCTTGTAGTGTATCAGGAGTTTGTGGTAGAAGTCTTCTCTCTGTACAAAGAACAGACACAACGCTAAACAGGCACCAAGTTTAGTGAAAATAAACCAAGCATATACAGAGCAGAGACATTGTTTGGCATCATGTAATTCAACGATTGGTTAACTCATCTGCCTCCCCACCATCCAAATAAAATTTAAATATTTGCTTTATGTTAGGTTAATGAACCTGAATATTAGCAAATGGAGGTGCAAAATCCAATACACATTTTAGAATACATTATAAAAGAAAATGTCTGAATAACATATTTGGCAACTAAAAACCAAAAATCTTAAAATATATTCAGTTGTAACATTTTAAAGTACTCTTCCATTCATTCAAGTTTTGTTATTTGAGCTCAAGAGGAACCAATTAACATCTTGAGATGTCTATAAAGTTCATTAATAATGATTGAAAGGTAAAAACACAATACCTGTTAAGCTCAAGATCACTGAGAATGACAAATGCAGAACCCATGAAATCAGATGTGGTTAAATCTCGATCATATACCTACGAAAAGTTCAGAGGCCAGTCATACACATGAATAAGGTAACACATTTATCAAATTATTAACAAATACCAAAGGCTTGGAAATTTGAAACCCATCGTTCAGACCTTATGGTCACTTGCATAGTACAGTTAAAGAGAAACTTAGCCAAGCCTGTACAGGGGACAAAATTTTCCAATCTTGCCCATTTTGCATACTTCTCACCAAAACAACTGCAGAAAATACTTCTAAGGCAGGACTCCTAAGCATGAACACATTATGCACAATGGGCAGCTCTCTGTAGTTTAAATGGGCCTCTCATTAAACTTTAGTATTTTCCACGGTGAGCAGATCTGCCAATTAAATTGAAATTTGTTAAATATTCTGCAGCAAGCCCATTTTGCACTCAACTCATGCAGTTTTAACCCAGATGTTAGAGCAACTGATGCTTACATCGGTAGCTTGAAGCCCTGTTAAGAATAAAGTTATTCCTAATGAGAAAGGCTCTAGTACGTGTCGCCACTGCACTACTGGCAGTAATTCTTCCACATTCAGTAAGTTTAAATACAGTCAGTGGAGATATTCTTATTCTTAAGTTTCTACAGCGCATACTCCATTGACTTGAGACATCCGGTTTCAAATGTAATAAAGAATTCCTTCTGTATTATTAATATTGATAACCGAGTCCTTGAAAACAATAAAAGAACTAATTGTGGCAAGTGCATTTTTAAGAGGTCATGAGAGAAACTGTTGAGAAGTAAATAATTGTAATAAAGGAGCAGATTTTAAAGCTCTCTGTGATTACCTTCACACGTAGCTTTTGATCAAGACTTCGTATTGGCAACACAACTATTTCATCCCAAACTGGGTTCAGGTTCTTATATATGACTTTACTTTTGTACAGCGTCTTTCCATTCAGTTTAAATTTCACATAGGGGTCACTTGTGCCTTTAGAAGAAAAAGAGAACAAGACAGAATTTGAAGTCCACATAGGAGCCTGGGCTCTCCATTATGTGAGGATTGCAATCCACTGATCCCAGTCCAGACAAATCCCTGAGCCGAGTTCGAAGGCCCGGAGAGTGGAAAAGAGAGAGAGAGAGAAATGAAAGAATTTGGGAGTAGATGTCTAATTCCTTCTTGTTTTCAGTAGTAAAACAGGAATACAAGACAAAGAGCTGCAAGAAATATGTAGAAAAGGTATAAAAAGTAATAATAATAATAATAATAGATGAGTTTCCTTTCTAGATCTCAAATAAATTTTTATACCAGGACCATTAAAAAAAAACAAACAAATAGGCTCCTGGAGCTTTTTTTTGTTTGGTTGCATTGTGGATATGTCACCCCTCTGCTATCCACAAAAATCCAAGCAATCACATCAGTGGCAGGAGTCCTGGGGAGAAGCCCATGCCTTCTAGGGACAGCAGAGTCCATGGAGAGGGAAACAAACCATTTGCAGGCATTTAGCCATGTGGCTGATCCCACACAATGCTATACTTCAAAATATAATCATAATAAATAAATCCATCTCTGAAGCCACTGGCTCAACAGATGGGGTGATGGGATTCAGACTCAAACTGGGGGGCATAGAGATTAAATCGACAGAGTTGCTGTTCTCTGCTTGCCCCGCACCTGCATGAAGGCTGTGTACATTGTTTTCTGGGGCCAGCTGAACTCCGCATCCACTGGGCCTGCAGCTGGCCTCAGCCCTGACACCAGTGACCTGCCTGACTCCTCCTGGGGAGCTTTGAAACAGATGCCAAAAGGAATGAATAATGTCCCAACAGTTATTATGCCCAAAGCAAAACAAAGTGCTGAAGGCAGATCCTCCTCCACATTTTTAAGATCAATTGAAACAAAACAAAACAAAATGCCTCCAAACATAATGCATGAATTATGTATTAGGCCTCCTTGGTACATGCATGTGTGTGTACCATCTTACAGTGCTGGGAATACACTTGCTCATTTTACCTGGAAATGCTAAATAAAAAGACACAAATAAATGAGCAATCAATCGAGGAGGGGATAAATGATGGCCACTTGATAATGCTACAAAAATAATTCACTTTGGGGAGTGATACTGTAGTTAATTTTGAAACAGAGCTATCACTAGGTAACAAAACTAACAGTCTATTTACTGATCCATCCCAAATGCCTCAGACCGTGCACAAGACAGGCTTCCAGAATGTTCACTGAAATGAATTTCTGATATTAAAGTCAAGCCAATATTGTCCAAGAATGTTATTTTTAAAATTTTATTAGTACGTTTGCAGTACATATGTAACAATTTTGTTCATCATGGAGAGTTGGTGCATGTATGTGTCTTCATTCTTTTTATTTCTCCTTCACCTCTTCTCTCCCTCCACCCCACTCCACCTTCAGATCCACTTCCCATTGACAAAAGATCTACCTCCCTGATTCCCGTTGTCTATCTTTTATCAAAAATCCAATTAGAGTATTCTGCCACAAATATTTACCAAACCCCTAATACTTATCATTAATTACTCCAATCATTTATTTTTTTTCAAATCCTTTTCTAGGTCTCTAGTTAGCTCTGTATTAAAATCACTGAAAACAAACGCAATAGATTTCCTGACCGTGTGAGCTGCACATAACATTACCAGAGCGGAGGGTGCACATTCTTTAGAACATCTTTGTGGACTCACTAAGACACAAGTTTGAGGATTTAGCGTTCTGGTCTTGCCGAGGTACTGATTTTACACACACACAAATAAATAAATTAAAGATGGACACATACACATACTTGACCCTCACATTTCAAGCTGGCAACATAAGAGTAGAAGCCCAGCCCTGGTAGTGCAGACACACCCCCATGTCAAGCAGCGGTCCTGGCGAGGGTAGTAACAATAAATGCATCTGCAGCCATCCAGTCAATTCTCAGCAGTGAGCTAGCAATCTGCTCACCCCACTCCCCCTACCAGTGCAAGAGAGAACACCTCTGGCCAGTCAGACTCTAACAATTGTTCTGATATATATATGTATGTATGTGTGTGTGTGTGTGTGTGTGTGTGTGTGTGTGTCTATATATATATATATATATGGTGGGGGAAACTATAATAAAAAGAGGCCTTTAATTAAATGAAATTGCCACTCTGGGATCAGGCCTTCATGCTTGTCAGCGTGCTCTCAAAATAAACATCTCAAAACTCGGCCTCGGTGGTGTCACTTTCTCACAGGCAAGGCATACTGGGTAATCCCTAGGCATCTTGACAGCTACATAATGTTCAAACTGTTTCACGGGTGAATGGCGGCAGTTGTGTGAAAGAAAATATTAATGTCTGGAATTAATAGGAAAAAAGGACCGGGTTTACAAAGCCAAACAAGGAAAAGAGAGTGTCAGTTAGTGTGGCGTTAATTGTTAGGGGAAATTGGAGAAAAGGAGGGGACACATTGTGATTCTCTGTCTGGGCCTAAGTGCCTGGCTGTCAGGGCAGTGACATCTCAACTAAGCAGGTCCTGAAAGGGGGTCTGCAGCTCAGGAACACCGCTCCCAGAGTATTCAAATGATGAGCTGACACCTGAAAGAGTGGACTTTAACCTTGTGGGCTGGGAGTTTTGTACGCAATGAGTCTCTTGTAGCAGAGAGGAAAGGAAGAGGAAGCCAGGAGCCCAGAGATGGGGTCTCAATCCTGGGGCTCCCCTCAATTCTGTATGTGGACCTGCTGGAGTCACAAATCCTCCAACCCAGAAAGCAAGGTGTTAAGAATCCATGGCCTCAGTACCTTCCCCTTCTAACCACACTACAGCTTCTGTGTTCACAGTTCTGCATCGCAGATTCAATCAACCACAGGTGGAAAACATTCATAAACGTGCCTATATTGCACAAGTACAAACTTTTTTCCTTGTCATCATTCCCTAAACCATACAGCAAAACAGTTATTTATATAGCACTTATACTGTATTAGGTATTATGCATAATTCAGAAATGACTTAAACTATATAAGAGGATGCATGGGGTTACATGCCATTGTACACAAGGGACTTGGGCATGTGTGGATTTTGGTGTCTGCAGGTAGTCCTCAACCAGTCCCCTGAAGCTCTTTATAGATGAATGTATTGCTCACCGCAAATAAAGGACAGTCATTGGTCTTTCAAATTCCTGTCCCAATACCCAGTCCTAACAACCATGTATGACACTTCTTGTTCCTGCTCATGCCATGGACACTATAGACAGCCACGTCTCCCTCAACACTGCACCTGTCTGGCATGAAACGCACCGTGAACACTTCCTGGTCACCTCTGGCCCCTGCTCTGTGCCGGGCTCTCTGGGATTACCGAGGGCCCCCAATCTCAGATCTGTATTTTCTGCACCTGCTGGAAGCCGACATCCTAGAATGCAGCAGGAGGAAACTGTCCGGACAGAATTGAACAAGTTAGGGATTCCTATGGCTTATAGTTGGGAAAGATTAAAACCTGGTGCTGACATAAAAGATGGGAGTTGAAGGGATGTCTTGGAACTGCAGCACTTGGGGATGCAGAGGAAGGAGGAGCAGAAATTCAAGGCTAGGCCTGTCAACTCAGCAACTTGGCAAGACCCTGTCTCGAAATTAAAAAAAAAAAAAAGACTGAGGAGGCAGCTCAGTGCAAAAGCCCTGGATTTAATTCTAAGTACCACAAAAAGAAAAAGGGTGGGGCCGGGGATTTAGCTCAGTGTTTT